GGCCGTATGTTTGACACCCCTGCTCTAAACCCTCTAAATGAATGAAAACTCCCTTTGTTGTACATATCTATGCATCTATCATCTGTCCACATGTATCTCCACTATTTCACGCCATGGTTCATACAAGTGGTGTCCAGTTTGCACTGTTAATATTGCTAATAATGCTAATAGTTAAGCTGACAGACTTACAAGGACTCTGCAAAGTGCTTCATCACTTTGACTCTCTTCCTTTTTGTGCTCCCAGAGTATTGCTATTCCATTTAAAACAAATCTACATATATCTTTAGATCTTTATCTAAAGTATAGAATGTAAATATATGTTATATATATTATAATGAATCTTTGTTAGATTTATAGAGCAACATGTAAAAGATCTTTAGTGAAGTTGGTCTGTCACTGTTTAGTCAGAATACACACATAAAATGTCTAATGTAGACCAGGAAGCACTGGGCACCTCTCGTTCACACCATTGCTTTGTTGCTTTTTTGTAAAGTTCCCTGTCTCTGTAATGTCTACTGTTGATATTATACATGTTGATATCAGACTTGGGCACATAGTCATGCTGTAAAAGGTGTCTTAAAAAGTCTAAAACTCAATAATCAGAATTTTAGGCCTTAAAATGTCTTAAACATGATTTTGACTGATTGAATTAATGAAGTTAACATTTCAGTCTATCTTTTAAATGTGTTTTGGAGGGGAAAAGACTTTTATTTATCATGCTGTAACGACAACAAACTAAACAATTTGCTTCATATCCTTCGTACTTTTTCTATCAGTATGGATGTGAAACGGATCTTAAATTGCTTTCATAATGGGCTTTAAAAGTGTTGAAACTTGCATAAAACCTGCATTTCTTTAACTTTCTATCAAGGAGATAAATTAAAGGATAATGAAAACTACATCTACACCCAATTTAATTATCTGTAATTTAATCCAAAGGCATCTTTTCTAAAATGTTACACACCATAGACCGGAGAACAGATGGGCTGTGAGCTACTTGTTTTACTCCATGTCTCAAACTTTCAGAGGTAAACAAACCCGGAAATCTGAAGACCTGAAGACTTAAAGAGAGGAGAATCTAAATCACCTTTTAAATATGTGTTGAGGTGCAGAGCTCATGGGTTTTACCCAGGTCTGGTTGATAGCCGCCACTGTGTTGTGTCTCAGTCCATATGTATGTTTAACAAAGCCATCATCTCTCTCCCATTCTTGTCTACCCCTCACCCACCCTGTCCAATCTGACAGTACATGCAGCGGGGCGGGGCATGCGGGCGCGGAGGTTGGCGCCTCACCTCCTTGCCTCTCTTACAGGAGAGGCTCGTGGCTCCTCCCTACCTCCCCGAGCTCAAACGAGCGGGAGGTCGGAGGTCTTTCGACTATGAAGCTGCTGCTGCTGCAGCTGCTGCCAAGGTTTTAGCTGGGAAATCAGCATCGTCATGCCACACGGCTACCACCACAAGCTCCAGTGGTACTACTCCGGTGGTGGCCCCGCCCTCCCACCGTACAGGAGCCATGTTGATTAATGGCTGGCAAGAAACTGCCATTGATCTAACCAAGTCGACCGGAGAAATAAGCACCACCAGTGGCATTGGGACGGGAGAAGCTGTGGTTGCGCCGGGAATCGGCCACCACGGCGCCGGTGCTGGCAGCAGTCACAAGCTGCCGCCACCCCCCATCACAGCTCCGCTAACGGGCTCTGTGGGAATCGACATGGCCGGGATACTGCAGGCCGGGCTCATCCATCCTGTAACGGGGCAAATAGTTAACGGAAGCCTGAGGGGAGATGACTCACTGAGGAGGAGGAGAGGGAGGAGGAGAAACGTGGAGGCACTGTACTCTGAGTTCACCAAGAGCAGAGGACTGCACCTCCCAGAGACACAGGTGGGTAGGGAAGGAGGGCCTGTTCAGTGTAAGGGCAGTTATTATTGTTATATGTGCTTCAGTGTGAGAGAAGGGAGACCACACCTGAGGCATTATGGGTAAAATCAGGTAAATGAAAAAGATCGAGAGGAAAATCCTTTTCCCTCCTCAGAATTTCAAACCGTTAAAAACACCTGCACCTGTGTGTGTGTGTG